CCCCTCCTGCCACCCCTCCCGGCCGACACCGCGCCCGGCGCCGCCCCCACCGCCGCCCCCGCTGCGGGCGCGGCGTCCTCTACGGCGGCCGCAGCGGCTGAGTTCAGCTCGACCCTGTGGGGTCCTACCTGTGACAGTGCTGACTACGTGTACAAGGACGTGATGCTGCCAGAGCTCAGGACTGGGGACTGGCTGCTGTTCCCTGACTCAGGGGCCTACACGGTCGCGGTGGGTGCCGAAAGGGGGGGGGAGAAGAGGGGGTTTCCTTGGGCGCCGCGTGAGTGTGGAGTGGGTAAAAGGGGGCGTGTGGGGGTGTATGGCCTGCCAGCAAGGTTGCGGCTCGTGGACTGAAGGGCACCGGTGCGCAGCGACGCTGGCGGGGATGGCGTCGTGCCTGCGGATGCCCTCGCGCATGAATGCACAAGCTTTGCCTGCAAAAGTGCAAGCGTGTGCTTGCACCCCAATGCTCGCGTGCACACATGCGCGCACGCACGCGCACACACACACACACACACACACACACACACACACACACACACACACACACAAACACACACACACACACACATGCGCGCGCACACACATGTCTGCTGCCTGCACCACCACCGCCCCCCTGTAGGGTGCATGCGACTTCAACGGCATCGCCATGACAGAGCCGGCCAAGTACTACGTCTTCTCAGAGTGCGCGGTGGACGCACCCCCGGCACCAGAGGGCGACGGCGACGAGTGATGCGGGGCGACCCCGCCCAATCCGGCCACCTCGGCCCAGGGGTCTAGTGTTGTTGGTCAAGGCTCCAGGGTCGACGGCTCTGGAGAAACATAGGAGCAGCGTCTGGCGTGGACTTGGGCCCGGAAGGCTGCACGGCCAGGCCTTGCGCGCGCAGCGTTCCATGCGCGCGCGCAGGCAGGCCGCGCCCTGTGCCGGCCCTGGTCACGGCGGAGCTGCTCTGCCATCAGATTTGTGCACCGGGCCGCACCACATCGATGCCCGGACACAGGGGATGGGCCGCATGACGCATCCCGTGACGCGTCAGATTCCGCTGCGTGCGTGGCGGAGACAATCTGCGTACGAGCCGTCCTCAGCAGCCCTTGTGGCGACGAGCTCTCTCGACCCTTGCTGGCTTGCATTTGACCGACATTTCATGGAATGACAGCGCTGCAGCCCGTCAGCTGCGCTCCCGCGCACATAACCCGTCGCGAACCAACCGCACCCACCCGCTGCAGCGATTGCAGTCGGGCTCTGTTCCCGTAACTTCAGCCCTCAGTCGTTTCAAGTCTCGGGTGTCACGGCATTATGCCGTCGGCGCTCTGCCCACTCTGGCGTTGGTGCTTTTCATTCTGTGGTGGCGCTCCACCTTTTTTGCGGCAAGAAAGGAGTCGCGCGTCCAACTGGGGTGCCACCACAATGGAGCTGCCCCGGCCTGTGAACTGGTGTGCAGGCCTTGATCTTTCAGATGTGCGAGTGCGTGTGGATGATGGGCGCGCCACAGCCTCATGATACATGCCCGCGCGTAACATGCACCCTTTGTGCCCTGAGTGCAGTGCCCGCGCCGGGGGCCCCAGTCATAAGCAGCTCGGCAACCCTGTAGTGCGCGAGCGTGTATGCCGGTCCCCCCCTGCCGCAGCCCGGGCCAGGCGTTATTATGCGGTCTGCTGCCGCTCGCACTCCTGAATTTTTTGCCGCCTTCACGATGTAACTCCCAAATGATGGCGGATGTACCTGGCAGTGCATCAACATGTCAGAGGGTTTGGGCTCACGGGCCGTGAAAGTTCACTCTGCTCACGTGCCCTCACGAAGCAGGCTCTGCTAGCCAACATACTGCAGTTGTGCCGATGACGATGGGCTTTGCCTCGCATCCGCAACCGCTGGGCCCGATTACCTCTTCACAACGCGAGCCGCTGTTTGTATGTGGGGGGCGATCCTGGAGCAGCGCGGCGTGTAAGGGGAGGCGGTCCGCCAGGTGGGCTTCACAAGTCTCAGCAGTCAGTGCAGTCTCTGAGTCAAGCCTTACGACTGCTCGCCCGTGCATGCAACCATCAGAGAACACGCCAGGGACCGGGCTGGGCGGCCAGGGGTTGGAAGTTGAGTGCGTTCTGCGTCACAGAGTGCGCCCCGCAAGCTTTGCTGGATACGTTGTGACGCAGCACCCTGAACGACAGATGTTTACAGTGCAGAGCGCTGCAGAATGCAGACAAATGGCTGGCGTGCCCGTTGTTGATGCAAGCTAGTCTACCAGGTTTGGTGGCTGGGGCAGCTTGTGTGGGATAGTAAAGGGCAGTTTGGAAGTGGAGGGCGGTGGTCCCAGGGTTTAGACGGCGTACAAAGCAGTACAGCATGACGGGTGCAGCTCTCACGAGGATGCACACCGTTTGACGGCATAGTCCAGGCACGCAAAGTGCAGCAGGGGCATCGGAGGGGTAGTAACGACGCGGCCGGGTGTGCGAAAGCCGGACCGCGGATATGTGAGGGAAGGCAACGCCTTGGACGGGTCACTTGCGAGAGTGACCCCAAAAATCTGTGGGTTGTTTGCGTGCTGGGGACGCGAGGGCGGTCTTGTGCTGCGCGCTGCGTGTGTCAACTCTCCGCCAGTGCGTCCCTCGGGCGCGCTCCGGCAGGGCGCGCAGGCGGCAGGCCAGACGTGCTTCGCAAGCCGCGCGCTCAGCGGGTGCTGATGGTGCCGTCGGCTGTGATGTTGACGGCTGTAAACGAACATCAGTACACGCAACCTCAACTGTTGTACGTAGTAATGCAGATTGCTGCGGTGTCTTCCAGGCGTCTTGCAATGCTTGCCATCACATCATGACTGTATCAAATGCGCGCGGTGGCGGCTGCTTGTCATTGCCAAGCATCGGGCCCAGCTCGATTGGACTTGTGTAGCATCTCAATGCGGAAAGCGGGTTGTTGTGTACTTCGGCTGCGCTCATCAAATCTCAGCGAGAGCCCAGTGATTATTGGAAGTGGGGGCAGCTTGCCCAAATTCTTCATGTGCCTCCGACTGCGGACGCCCTGCACTGGGCGCATGTCCGGCAGGGGGGCTGGGCACTGCGTGCCTCACAGCCCCTTGGCACACACATGCAGCGCCTGGACGGCCCTCTGTGTGAGGCCTGCCACGGCAGCGCGTGCGCGGTTGCCGGCCGCCTTTCCGGCCTTGAAGGAGGCGGCGAATATGACGACTCCGACAGCGACAGTGACGATGGTGCAGTGGGGCTGCTTGGCCTTGTTCATGAAAGGGTAGGGGTACTCCCTGCAAGTGCAGATTTGTGCAAGTTGATATGACAGGACCGAGTGTGAGAGTGTGCCTTTGTGTGCATGCACTGCATATATCTGTGGTATGTGAATGTGCGTGTGCGTGTGTGTGTGCGTGTGTGTGTGTGTGTGTGTGTGTGCGCGCGAGCGCGCACAGGTCCCCATCACTTCCAAGATCTTTTGCTCACACGCATCACCGGAGAAAAGTGCTGCACAGTGCTTCAACACACCGTTCTGTGCTGTAATGTGCTCTCATGCACTTCTACCTGGGCCGTTCCAGTCCGCGCTCTGCGCCCACGTCCTCCGTCCCCCATCCACAGCCACGCACCCGTTCATGTAGCCGCTCAGGTTCAGCAGCAGGATGTAGCCCAGGACGAGCGCGGTGGACATGCGCTCGCTGACCCGGCTGAAGCTGCGCTTCCCAGAGATGAGCATGTCCGCCCAGGCCACCACCACGTTGAGCGCGTGCACGCTGGGGCTCAGCCACCAGGGGCGGTAGGCGTCCATCGCGCTGAAGATGCCCTTGTTGGCTGTTGCGGCCTGGATGGCGTGGAACATAATGGAGACCACGTGGGACCCCGCAAAGAGGGTGCAGGACAGGTCGTCCGCCAGGCGCGCCACCAGTGGCACCCCGCGGCCAAGCTGCGGGGAGCGGGGGCGGGGAGAAATCAGACGGGGGAGGGTGAGCGACGCTGCCGTGAGCGGTGTGGCGCATGCATTGGGCGTGCCCAGCTCCCCTTCTCAGAGCGTCGAGGGAGGGAAGCAGCATGCGGAGTGTAGGCTGCTGGCCAAGCAGGGCGCAGCTGCTGTGACAGGGCATGCTGACCAATCAATCATGCGTGCGGGCCGCCCCCCACCAGCGTCAGCCAGCCGTCCGCCGCGGAGAGGCCGAGTGCGGCCGTCTGGAAGGTGAATGTGTAGAAAGTCAGGTAGCGCATGAACCAGCCAAACCCCTGCACACGCGAGGATTTTGTTCAGGGATCACAGCGGGCGCATCGGAGCCGTCTTATCGAGTCGGTGGCAGCGTGCGGATGGCAGGCGAATGGCGGGGGCATGGCTTTGGGTCAGCGCCGGCCAGCTGCGGCCCATCCGCACACAGTGAGCGCTCTGATTATCGGCCGTGATGGAATGCAAGAGGATATGGCAATATGTCCAACTGCTTCCGCATCCGCGCTTGCAGCCGCTGCAGCCGCTACAGCCGGCGCCGCACACCGTGGAGCCAGGCAGCTGCGCCGCTGCAGGGGACGCATGGAAAAGCAAGACGCGTGAGAACCAGAGGAACGCCGTTGTATGGAGCAGCAGCGCGGGCACCAGGGACCTATGGGTAGGCACCGAAATGAGAAATGCCTGGGAATAAGCTTGGCAATGTGCGAGTGTCGAGGCACTGATGGCGGTGAGCCGGGAGATGTGCCACGCTATGGCGCCGCTCGCCACGGCTGACCTGAGCTGCGGTGCCGCCGGCGAGTTGCCCCTCGAAGCGACCACTGGAGCCATTGTGGGCTGCCTCGCGCTGCGAAAGGAAGCCGTACCACTCGGCATTGGCCGCTTGGGCCGCGGGCGGTTGTAAGACTACCGTAGAGATGGAATCGTCCGAGCATATAAGAGCGGCGATTCGCTAAGCTTTTCAGTCTATTCACATGAAACGTCTTCCACGGGCTTGCATTGACTGAAGAGGGGGTAGAAGCTGCAGCAGCAGCACCTGCAGTGTAGCTGCAGAGCATCCCCAACAGGCAGCCATTCTTGCCCTGTGCTGGGAGGCTGAGCCCAGCTGTCCTTGTGAGCTGTTTTATGTATCTGCTATTGATTCGACGCTGACACTGGAAGATGGCCAGTGTTATCTGCGACTCAGTGGCAGGCGGCTGTTGGGCGTTTGCAATGGCCGCCCAAGCGCCAAGCAAGCCTTTGTACATGTGGTAGCTGCGCGTTGCGCCTGTGCCGCCGCTCCCTGCATCATCTAGCCCATCCAGAGGCTGCAACTAAGCACCGAGCCTTTTGACAGCATGAAAGGAATCTGTCTCAGCAGCGCAGGGCACAGCCCCAAAGGAACGGCATATTACGCAACGCCCCTGTTGCACGCTGCACAGCAGGGGCAGAGAAGCAAACATCACAGCCAAAGAAATTTGCACACAGGATGGAAAACAGTGAAGGTTGAGCAGACCAAAACTTTGCTAGACTGCAAGGTGCAGCGGGCGGGAGCGGCTGCGGCTCAGTCGCGCATCTGCGACTCAGCCGCCTCTGCCACCAGCGGCAGCCGCGCTGTCTGCCCCACGGCGCATGACCCCTGGCGTCAGACGAGGATGGGCGCATGGCGAGGAGTGGTGATGAGTCGGGCTGCCAATGCAACTTATCTCAACGCCGCGGCCCATGACCAACCGGCCTGAAGAGCAAGCGCCCAGCCTCCCCAATGGCTGCTGTGCAGGACGCACCCTCCTTTCCCCCCCCCCTGCCACTCCCAACTATCCGGCCCCCAGGTTGCACTCACGATGCCATATGCGGTGCAGACGGCCACGAACAGGAATATGGTGTTGGCGGCCCCCACGTACAGCGACATCCAAACGCCGTCGCCACGGGGCGTCCCGAACTGGTTCAGCAGCAGCTGGGGTATGATGATGAGGATGTCCAGCAGGAC